AGATGGTTTTGGAATAATGAGGCAAGGGAGGAGTTTACAGTTGCCAAAGCATACTCAAAGCTGGTGGAAGATAAATTCAGAACTCTTGATGTGGCAGAAGGCAGCACATCCGGCAAGCTCAAAGGAGAGTTAGTACTAGAACTTGAAAGCTTAATGTGAAAGGTAAATTGAAGCACTTTCTATGGAAATGTTTCTCTGCTGCCTTACCTGTCAAAGAGGCACTCAGAATAAGAGGGATTTTTATTGATGCTATCTGCCAGTCATGTGGTGAAAACACTGAGTCTGTTGAGAACATTTTCTTCCACTGCAAGAAAGCCAAAGAAGTCTGGAAACTCTCCCCTATTCACTGGGACATTGCCACTGACAATTCAACAAAGTTCAGGATATGGTGGCATGATGTGTGCTCTGTAAAAAAGCTTGACGTTTCTGAGGCTAGAATAGAGCTCACCACATATATCTTGTGGTGGCTTTGGAAAGCCAGAAATCTTTGGCTCTTTAAGAAGGAATGGCTGCCAGCACCTTGTATTGTCAAGCTTGCAAGGAATGATTGGCAGGAATTTGCTAAGAGGAAGAAAACTAGACTGTGAGATTATGAAGTGTGCCTAGGTTCTTTGGTTCAGTGGGTGCTTCTGTTCAAGTAGGCTGGGAGTTGTTCTGTGGCTGGTGTGGCTGGTTTAGCTCTCCATGGTCTGATTTCTGCTGCTGTTTAGTTAGTTAGTTGTTGTGCTTTGTGTTTGTTTTGTGCTGACTGTATTGTGTTGGTTGTGTTTGTATAGATGGGTTCATTGTTGTGTTAAGGGTTACAAATCTATACTTGGCCTTAGCATTTGCTTTGAGTTCATCTTGTGCTTTCTAATTTGACTTTATCTAGAGCACCTAGTGTTGGGTTCGCCTGTACCGTACGGGTTATACGCAGCGAAAAATTATATTTCAAAAAACAAGTATTTATCATATAAATACTCAACCCATACGTACATATAACGGATGCACGAATCGTCATCATTTAAAACATGTAATAATACAAATTTTGATTTGTTGTAAGTAAATTAAAATTTACCTTTGTTCTTGAACTCCTTCAAAAATGAAGATGGTTGAGGAAATCAATTCCCGGTTTGGTAACTTCTATTTGTTGATGTTACTCGCTTTAGGAATCCAAATGTCTTCCCTCTAATCGTATCCACCTTTTGAATTCGGTTACGAAATAGTTTCTTCGCTAGTAGAAACTACTCGATTTTATTCAATATGTATAGAATATATTTTGAGGAGATTTTACAAGAACTCTTTCTTGTTTTAGATTTTGAAGAACACTTCTTCTTTTCTCTCTTTTTCAACTCTTGAAAAACCTAAGATCAAATCTTGGATTAAAATGAACATCATGTATGTCCATATTTATACTAAACATTTTAGTATAAAATAATAATATTTGGTGGAATATTTTCATAAAATATAAAAAGTCTTCAAGAATATTTTCATAAAATATTCATTCTTGAATAGGACTATTCCCACTAAATATTGTATTAATAAAAATAAGATTAATTATGTAGAGTAGTTAACAACTCCAAACCACCATAATTAATTTATTCTTATTAATATAAATAATAATTCTTGAAAATAATTTTTCAAGACTTTATTATTTTAATCTTTTGTCCCATCTCCTCATTTAATAATCATATTATTATTTGGATTTGAAATTTAAAATCTAATTTTAAATTCCAACTATTTATTTAGTAATTTCATTAATTACTAAATTAATATCCAAAAATACAATTAATCAATCTAATTGATTAATTTAATATATTCCTTTAATTGACATAATCAAATTAGTTTTGTCAATTAATTCTAACTCTTTAGAATTACTATTTGAACTTTACCTTCATTCAAAAATTGGTGTGACCTTTTAGGTTCACAATTAATACTAGTAGTGGGCTTACAACTCTTTGTAATTTGAATTAATCTAATTAATTCTTATCATGAAATTAACTCCTTAATTTCAAGAACCCACATATCATGGGAACATCTAGCAAGTAGCATGAATCTAGTATTAAGTGAATAGCGAGTAAACCTATTTCGATTACAAGTCCATACATGTAAAATCATTTCGACATCCAATTTCCCGATTAAATCTTGGGTATGATTTTGTCGAAACCCAAATTGATTTAATAACTATGATTCCATTTCAAGTTTAGTAACTCGTTTATGAATCTCTATTCATCCCGCCTTGGCCAAGGACTTTGAATTACTAACTATGAAACACATAGGAAATTCACGTATCTTCATACGTGTCGAATCCTTTGTTGGCCACTGACAAACTTCCATACATATTAATATAATACCCAAAATATCGCTTTATACGATTGTGCTAGCAACCAAAAGGATAAATCAAAGTAAAATATAATATGCATAAAGTTACCATCGTGCCTCAAGTCTAAGGATTAGTCATGTACTATTGTAACATGAAAATTCTTATTCGACATGATGAACTTTCATTAAGAATTTTCATACGGTCATGTTCAGTGAACTTGTTCTCTAACAAGCACCCACATATATGTATTTGCGTCCCACGCTAATGTTGATGGAATGCAACATTCTTGTCCAACAAGTATACATCATATGTTCAAGTCTTTTCCGGATTTAATCGATATCCCATCTCGAAACATCCAACGACTTGGAACTGTATTTAAGATCACAGCTTTCAAGGTATTTTCCATGATCACCATCTCTATGCGCAACCATACCTTATAGCTATATGTGATCTAGGGATTTTATCTTAAGTGCAAATATAGGATAAATGCTTACTCTTAAAATAAAGTAATGCCTTTTAATTAATATAATTCCAATAGATTGTATTTACAAGTAGAATACGTCCAATCTGATTGGAACGCCGGGTATCCTACTCTAACACCTAGATGTTGGTGTCTCTCTTGTATTGGTTCCAGTTGGTTCCCGGGTTGTATCTTTGTACATTCAGTGCTATATATTGATCTATCGTTTCGAAAAAAAAAATGTTTATAACACCATAAATCACAAAATACGCAATACAAAACAACATAATTAAAATTCTGGTGGCTTAAAACCTACTAACACATGAATAACAAAATTTTTATTCTAGTAGTCTCCCAAACCACTCCACTTCCTCACTTGTCCAGATTTTGAAAAAAATCACTGAAAGAACTAAAAGTGTTATTGACTTGTGATGTCTGCGATAACCGTCCTTTTTTTTTTTTATTTCTCAAAAACAGTTCTTGCTAATTTTTAATATATTCAAGACAACGGTTATCTTGTATGAAATCCAAATCTATCATTAAATTTTATTTTCCTCTATCGATGTGCGGGTCTCAACAAATTATTTTAGTAACTCGTTTTTCACTTTTGGATTTCAATTTTTTGTCTTATGGTCGTGATCCCTATTCATTCCTGAGCTTATTATTATCTCTCTAAATTTTGTAATACATCTGCTCATTATTTTCTCTAAAATTTGGTTTTTCATACCTAATGGTCGTTGTCATCATGAACCACAATGAAATAAGCTCATATCGCCCTTCATAATGCATTTTTTTTCCGGAACGATAGATAATTTATAGATAAAACTGCACAAATGTGCAAAGGTACAACCCCTAGCTGAATAATACAACCAAAAGTTGAATAAACTAGGAGGACGGATCTGAAGTCCACCTAGCACTGACACTATCAACGCTAAAAACCAAAACACAAGACTCAAGACACGACAAACACTAAACACACTAAACTACAAAGCTCCCAACAGGAGAATAAAAAACGATACTAAAGGGATAATACCCGCTCACACTCGGGCATAGACAGAGGCCAACGGATAAAACCAAAAATACGAAGCCTAGCAAAGAAACCAAAAACACAAACCTACCACAGAAAGCAAAAACAACACAGAAATAGAAAAAAACTACACGAGCCCTACAACAGCAGCAGTTCCAAGCCAAACCAGCAGTCGCCAAATCGACCCAAGTGGAGTCCCTCAGCCCAAGAAAACCGACCCCTCCACTGCCAAAAACCGCCTAGCTGAGCCTAATCCCAAGCATCAGAACATACCTAAAAGCTGTTTCGCCCCAAAGCCGGATAACACCAAACTTGCCCCCTGCCGCCGCTGTACCGAGCCTACTAACACCACTAGCGAACTCAGTACCTTCGGCAAGCTCCCGATAACTCAACTCCAGAGAACCGAGGAGAAGGAGCAATCACGATGACACAGCTCCTGCCACTCCAACTCTAAGTCGTGAGTCGCTTGAATTGCACCCGACCTCGTCCCAGTGAATTGCACCCCATCACCGCACCACGGAGGCGTTCGATCAGAAGCCCGAGTATCGTACCTACCGGAGTAGGCGAACCAATCCTGGGAGATCTACCACCACCGGAACTCCTGGGCGAGAGGAGGCGGAGCATCGGGGAAAGGGCCGAGCGGTCGGGGGTTGACTGCTGACGAAGCCCGGAAGCCATGTGGAAGGCGAAGATCAACGATGACGGCGGGCAGGCGAGAGAGAATTCAGGGGGAGAGAGAATTTAGGGCTTCCATATGCTTGATTTATCAAATTTCCCCTTCATAATGCATTGATTGATCATTTATGAGATAAATGTTTTAATTTAGAAAGTTATATGTAATGTTATTGTAATCCTTTTTCTAGTTGTTCTTATTTTTTTTTAATATTATTATTTAATTTGTATTATTATTGTTTGAATTTATGAAGCTCATGTTGTTATATACATAAACATATTTTTATTATTTGAGCAACAAAATTTATATAAAACTAAATATACGTATATATTACAATCTATTTGAAATAAATAATAAAATAATAAAATAATATATTTGATATATAGTAAAATATAGGGTGAAAAAATGGAAATGATACTTGAATTTTGACTAATGGTTATTTTGGAATATACATATTTTGGAATTCTAATATACGTAATAGTGGGAACAAAAATTTTTAAAGCTGAAGTTGCTCAAATTCTTAGAGTGGGAACATATTTGAAATTTGAAATTCAAAATCTAAGGCCCCCTTAATATATAATTCCAAAATCATCCTTTTGGATGAACAAAAACCTGCAATCTCCTCTCGCCGTCTCGTGCAGTCTGCCTCATTTGATCTCGCCTCGCGTCAGTCTCCCTCTCTCTCTTTCTCAAATTATTTTGATCAATTTCCATCGCTAACTGATTTTCTCTTGAAATTACTGACTGAATTTTCAAATCAGCTGGAACTTATCTGGGAAGTTGATTTTCTCTCTGAAGCTCAAAGAAAATGGGTCAGATCCAGTACTCAGAGAAGTACTTTGACGATATCTACGAGTACAGGTGCTTTTGGATTAATCTACATATTTTTCTCTGCGTAGTATGGAAGAATTGATCGTATTTATGGTGATTTTTTGTTTCGTTTTGTTTTTACCTTGTTAATTTTGTCATATTATTGTATTGCGTATTTGCATTTTTCAGGCATGTGGTTCTTCCAGCGGAGGTTGCAAAACTGCTTCCCAAGAATCGTCTGCTCTCAGAAGTAAGTTTTGGTTGGCATCTTATCCATATCAATGTTGATTTAGGGTTAGGTTTAGGTGTTACTTATTTAACTATTGGTTAAGTTGATTATGAGTGATTTGCGGTTTATCTTGATTGTTTCTGTTTGTTTTTTTGAATTCTATTTTTCGGTGAGTGGTGACAGCCATACGGCTGTGTCTGATCTATGTGAGTTGTGGTCGTAATTTTTGAAGAATATATGAGTCCGATCTCATTCAATAGAGACAACTAAAAATAAAAATATCCTATTCAAAATCCCCCCTTCTGCTTTGAAATCACCATTGTTGTGGAATCCCAACCTGCTTTCTTCGTATTTGGAATAGCGCGTTTAGGTTCTTTTTTGTGGAGTTCTGTTTTGCTGTCTCTGTGGATTCATTTTTGTAAATTAATTTTGGAGATGAACTGATGCCATTTGAGTGCCTCCATAGGAGTTCTATAGAGAATCAGTAGAGGACTCCAAATTTTAGTTCTATTTTTCATTAGTGTACCGTATTGACACACGTGGTAAATGGGAAGTAAAGAGGCATGAATCTCAATCTATACGAATCTCAATTCATACAACGTTTGTGTACACATGATCCTTGCTTTGTTTATTTTGTTTATTTTTCTTGGGCAATTTTTTTTGGCTGGGTAAAATGGTTTAGAACGAATGGCGTGCAATTGGGGTCCAACAAAGCCGAGGTTGGGTTCATTATGCCATTCACCGTCCGGAGCCACACATCATGCTCTTCAGGAGGCCGCTCAACTACCAACAGCAGCAGGACAATCTAGCTCACCAAAACATGCTCATCAAGTGAAGATCTTACCTGTGTCTGGATTCCAGTAGTTCTAAAGCTTCACTTATAAAAAGCTATGCTCTTCAAGTTACCTCTTGAAATTGTACTCTGTTACAGTTATATACTCTATTAAGGCATTTCGTGTGTTTTCTACAAGTCGCTGTTGGGTTTCTGAGTAATTGAACTGGTAAAGTCAAAAGCTTCCTTCTCGTCGAAGTTGAAACTGTTGCTTAAGAGTTTGTAAGTGTGTGTGTGTGACTTTCTTGACATTTTGTGTCTCGGTTGTGTAGAACTTCGCCCAGCTTCAGCTTCTGGATTCAATGTGTTTGTTTTGGTATTTTTGGTCTTTTGCGTGATGCATATTAAGTTTACATGCTTTTTGGTTCTAGTCTTCTTATAGTCGGGCCTTTGCTTATTTTCTTGGCCATGCCTGGCCGATATGAGTTCACTTTTCCTGGTTTGAACTTGATCTGACAAATTTCTTTTCTTATTGTTAGTTCAGTTGGAGACTTAGTTTGTTGTATATACTGATACAGAGTGAAGGTAAGATGCAATAATACATTGCATGTATTGTTTTCCTGTTTTCTTTAATTTGTCCTAGTTGAATTTCATTCAGTGCTTTTCCCAGGGCTGAAACATGAGGGCAAATGATGCAATAAATTGCCAAAGTTTTACCATCTTTAACTTCATGGACTCTACTAGTTGTGTTTACTTTGGGAAATTAGTGCTTCAATCAAGGATTTTACAGCATAATAAAGAATAATAATCCTAGTCTAGTCTTTAGTGAGTTTTTGGTCAGGTGAATATGTCTCATTTTCTTGTAGTGCTTGTCCATGCGGATTCATATAGGCGCGGAAGTGTACATAATTTTTTGAAATGTTATTTCACTAGGCAATGTATTGTGCTTAAGAATGGACCGCCTAATGAAGATTGAAGTAGGGTCCGATTAACCAACGAAGTGTTGTAGCTGCAATCTGAAGCAATAAAACTGATAGCATTTATTAGCTTTCATGTCAGAAGTACTATAGAATTTTAAACTATATATAATACAGAGGAACTTAATCAAAACAGACACCAGGTATCATTGACAGATTCGACTTATATTAGGGTTTCTATGAGTCTTGATCATTTTTAGAGTTTCAGATTTATTTTCCAGAACTAGAAATCGATTAAATTATTGGTTGTTTAATTGGATCAACTAGATACAATAAAATGGTCAATAAATGCATGTACTGGCCGTGGTTAAGCATGACATGATTAGTATAATGGAATGAAATTTCGTAGTAATGGAATGAATTGAAGAATAAAATGATTATGGAAATGGAATGAAACAAGTTTTGTCGTTGATGCGTTGGTATGCAGAAGGAATATGACTTGAATGGAATGACACTATATTTTTTGTTATAAAAATAAATAAAAGCTTTTTTAAAAATTAATATACTTTTAATAAATTATATATAAGTGTTTTTTACTAATATATAAAATAAAATATATATTTTTTTAATAATATAAAAAATAATATATTTTTAATAATATACAAAAATAAAATAATATATTTTTAAATTATATATAAAAAATAATATATTCTTAAAATTAATATATTTTTAATATATAAAAAGTAATATATTTTTAATAATATATATTATATTTTTTTAATTAAACAATAAATAAAAGTAAGTTTTCAATTTTTTATTTGAATTTTATTTTTAAAATTTTTTTATTTTATTTTCTTTCAATAATTTTATTTAATATATTTTAATCATGATTTATAATATATATTATATATTTATTTTTTATTATTATTTGTTAATTTAATTTTTTTAAAAAATTGATTCCTACACATATGGGAATGAGAAAACCTTCCATTTACTATGGAATGACTAATCCTATGGAGATACCCATTTCCATTGGAATGGTCATTCTTTCCAAAATATATACCAATCATGGGATAAGGAATGAGTAAGAGAATGATCATTCCATTCTCATGTCATTCCTTCCTACCAACCACGACCTAGTATTTTTGTTTATTATAATTGGTTACTAAGTGAATATTTGTTTGAGATTTTTAATGACTTTTTAATATTTAAAAAATTATGGTATACTTAATTTAGACTTTTTAAGACTTTTAAGAGACTTGAAGTTTTAAAAAGTTCACAAAATCCTGAGATTTCAAAAGAAAAAACCATATACGAGAAATTTCCATCTAAATCTCGCCTCCAAACTTAGGATTTCATATGATTTCTCTTATATTCAAAAATTTTAAAACGTCCAAAATATTAAAATGTCTTAAAATGTCATTCAAAATTGTAAATGAATATACACTTAAATAAAATATGTACACAACATGAACAAGGTACCTATCATGGTCCAATTGCAGCAACATATCTCATGTATCTATCATGGTCTAAATGCTAGTGTAAATTTACTTGAGTTGTTTAGTTTATAATAGAAATGGTCTAAATGGCTTTATAAACAATATGTTTCACATAGACAGGCCTACAATAGAAATTCTGTTGTCTTCCCCTCGTTTCAAAATATGATCGCCAAATGAAAATTTGTAAAAATGACTCACATATCATTACATATATGTGCTATATATAATATATTAATATGCACATTGTTATACCACAAATACCTGAACCGCTCGACCGCTCATCTCAAATTGGATTGAGCTTCCTTGATCGCGGTACCTGCAAAACACACCGAGGGTGGTCCCGATGTGGACACTCCGACGATCAAGTCAGTGGTGTATCTGAGAGAAAACGGCAGAGTAACGAGATAATGTGTGTATGTGTGTTGTGTAAAATGAATGAATCTGTTCCCTTTTATAGGTGAGGTCATGTACGGGTCGAAGAGTTATCATCGATTCAGAAGTCTTTCTTGTGTTTATCTCTAAATTAGGTCAAAGATGTCCAAAACTTCAGAGTCCTTATCACTACAAACATTCATGTGACCTGGCCACGAAGCCACCACCGGGTTCTGGTTACCTCGGAAGAACCCTCTGGCCGAGCTGCCTAGTCGCCTAGCTGCTGATATGCCCCGCTGCCTAGGCGATCGCCTCCGCCTAGCTCACGCTGAGCTGGTCTCCGCCTAGCGCCCACCAAATATGACTATAACTAAACTTGGATCACGATCGGTCCTCCAGGAACCGCTTCTCATGACTATACCATCTAGCCCCCCCATTTCTTGGATAAGCTATCGCAACTTGTTCTAAAAAATGAAAAAAGGTACTAATGTCGTGGTGAGTAATCTAACCAGAAATATAACTCCTATGGCCTCGACCATAGTTGCGCTGTGCTATGGAATTTGTTCTGTCCTCAATGCTTACACGTTGACCCACCCTCTTGACAAACAATCATAGCACGACCGCTGAACTCTGGACCTACCGCATGACCCATGCCGAGCCATCGGGCTGCCCGTGACGTCAAGCCACCAAGAATGTCGAGCGGACCCTCGGTGCCGAGCTGCTGTTCAATGCCGAGCGCCGAGCTGCCATCAAACCACCCGCGATGCTGAGCCCCCCAGGATGTCAAGCTACCATGCGTGCCGAGCCACCCACGATGTCGAGGCGCCGCAACGCCGAGGGACCGCTGAGCTGCCAGTCCTAATGTCGACGCCGAGCCGATGAGGTGCGCCGACGCCGAGCTGACTACGATGAGCTGAGGATGCTGAGCTGCTCGTGATGCCAATCTCCACGTGATGCCGAGCACCATTTCTGTGATGCCGAGCCAACCTGCCGAGGCACCAAGCTGTGCGAGCCGACATGTGAGCTGCTGAGCTCCCCGTTTCGTCTTGTCCAGCTGAGACGCCGACCTACCGAGGCGTGACCTGTCAGGCGTGACCTGCTGAGCTGCCGAGCTGCGGTCCTGCCGACCTACATGTCGAGCCAACCCTCCGTCCTGTCGAGCACCCGCGATGCCGAGCACCCGCGATGCCGAGCACCCACGACGTCGACCACCCCGTGATGTCGAGCCACCCACGACGCCGACCTTCTCGAGATGCCGATGCCGCTGGGTCGCGCGAGACCCCGAGCTACTAAGGACGCTGAGCACCCACCACGCGCCGAGCTGGCCGTATAGAAATGCCGAGCTGCGGACCCTGAATGTCGACGCCGAGCTACTCACTCCGCCCTGCCGAGCCGAAGAGCTGGCCTGCCGAGCTACACACGGAGCTCGCTAAGGTGCCGAGCAGTGACGCCGAGCTCCCCAAGCTTTTTTGTGTACCTCCCTCCTACCTTCCTTTCCTAGGCATACGTGCCTACCTTCTCACCAAGCACATGCTCACCTTCCTTTTTCCTTTCACCTACCAACACCCAACTTGCTCCCCAAGCTTAAATGTCCACCCTAGATCAAACTTCAAATCAAGGGCCAAGATCACCTAAGACCCACCAACCAAAAATCCATCTCTTCCTCTGTAAATACTTACCTCCCATCATTCACCATTCTCCACCTCAAATTACTCCAAAAATCCTTTTCTCTACTTTCTTCATATTACATAAATTCTCTCTCTGAAAAGAAGAAAACTCTCAATCTCTTCGACATCTGGCAATTTTCCTTTCGACGAGCACATACCGCCCCGTCGACCACACACCCCGTCGACGAGCTCGGGCATACCTGCCGATCCCGCGCCAAACCGACGACCACGCGCCTCATCACCTCGACGAGCCTCCACCATCCTGACGAGCTAGCGCCGCCCGCCGAGCACTCACACCCATTCGACGAGCTCGCGTCCTTCTTCAATCGGAAACCACACGCACGCCGACCTTATCTATCCTAGCACCATGTCGGACAATTTCATGGGTACGCTGACCTCACCCCTAACTATCGCGCTCGTTATTGCTATGCAAAATTCGTGATTATTTATTATGCATATTTCTTTTTCGCATACGCTCGTCAATTGTTTTTCGACTATCGCACCCATTAGAATCCTCAACCTCGACCACGAACACTAGTACCTCCACCTCTACCATGAGCGCTAATACGTCCTCTCCTACTTCACACTCCTCCCCCATACAAGGCCCTTCCGTTACTTTGGCCATCCAAGCCTCGTCAACTACAACCTCCAACAAAACAAAAAAAAGGTGCCACCGCCTCCCAAGCGACACCTTCTAACCCCATCTCCTACTCGGACAACCAAATAGCTGCCCCTGTTAAAAATATTGAGTTACCCCGAGGATGGGAACTCAGACTTCCACAACCCGGAGATTCATACAAGAACCCCCCACCCGACTTCTATAGCCTTTTCATAGATCAAGCCCACCCCGGAATGAGATTTCCTCTACACCCCAACCTACTCCAATTGAGCCAGTTATATCGCTTACCCCTGAACCAATCTCTTCCCAACGCGATACGCTATCTCGTTGGTTTTATCATGATTTGTCGAGCTTGCGTCGACCAGCTTGACCCAGAATTATGCTTCTATTGTCTCAATCTCCAATCCTCGAACAATACTTCACCCTACCTCATGCGCCGCAACAACGCTAATTTCCTCACACACCCTAAATAAAAAATTCATAACTGGCAAGACAAACTTTTCTTCGTTCGCCCCCCTTCCAATACTTTTGGCCTCCAATCCGAGTGGCTGAACGAGCTACCGGGTCAACGAAAGAAACTGAGACGGAACACCAAATATGACACCCTCATCGACAAATGGAATGACAGCCCACTTCACGTGGTGAAGCTGACCACCAATGACTGACTCCTTCGGCACTTCCAGCTGTCGAGCTGTGCCGCCGACCCCGTGAGTGACATAGGTAGGCCTCGACGCCACATCTTGTCGTCATATCGCCTACCCTTTTCTTTACGCTAATTCTATTCATATAACTTGTTTACTTATGTTTTTTTTTGTATTTGTCCTGCAGAGGAACTTCCATGACCTGTGCTGCCCACCCCGACAAGGCCTCAGGAGCAACGCCGACTCCCTCTAATGTGCCGACTCAGGACGTGGTCAACT